CATATAAAGATGAGTCAGTCTTTGTCTCTTGGCTTGTGGAGCCGATCTTGGCCCATTCAAGTATAAAGAGCATGGTTCTCGTAGACGGTAGGTACTGAAAATGCTTCCAAAGTTGGGGTAGTCAATTTCTCTCTAGTCTCAGGCTACTTCTTGTTTTGCGTGGCCGAGCCAGTCTTCCGAAGGTACTGAAGACATTGCTTTTGTTGGAGGTGAGCTTTTCACACAATAGATGGGCCACTAAAAATCCAGACAGTAAATCCATATATTACTAGTGAAAGAGTTTGAAAACATAGTTGATGTTCTATGAAGGAAAATAAATATTCATGTAATGACTGTTCTATATAATGCACTAAAGAACTCCAGGTTTCTGCATCATTCCCTTTCAGTACAGACAGTTTTTCTATATCAGGATTCCCTTGCCCGTCATTTATAAGCCTGCTAAATAATTTTACTTTTTTAGTGTTATAAGAAACTCAGAAAGTTCTGTGTTTTTACAGATGTTAGCAACCCATTTATCTTTCTTAATCCTCCAAAATCCTTTGAGACATGTAATTAAACCATAACTAACCAATAAAAACTTATAATTCTATTAATAATAAATTATTAATAAAATAATAAGCATTATTTTTCTCATAATACTGCTTTTAAGGAAGAAGAGCTTGCTGGGGAAAAAAAGAAAAAGAAAAAGCAGAAAAAAGAAGGGTTATGGCTGTATAAGACACTGGAAGATGGTAGGAAAAACAATTAGGAATTCCATGAAAGTAAACGGGCTCTAAAAGGAAATATATTATAGTATACTACTTGACTCTGTAGTGGGAAAAAAAAATGTAACCTGTACAAGAAGATACGGTCATAACAAGGTAGCACTGGGGGATGGGGAAAAGAAGGGAGGTAGTGTGAAAGAATTAAAGTCTCATCTATTATGTAATATAGTAAACAGACAGTGTATAAAATTGTTAACTTGAGAAACAGAAGTACAGAAAAAGAGACTATTCTAAATGAAAAGAGAATTAAAGATCCAACGCATGGTCTTAGATTGGACAAACCAGCTACAGCAAAGGCCATTTGAAGGACAACTGGGGAAATTTAAATATGTACTAGGTTTCTATGATATCAAGAAATTACTGTCAAATAAGGAACTGTGGTATACACATACAATGGGCTTGATTAAGCCATAAAAAAAAAGAAATCTGCCATTTCAACAACATGGATGTACCTTGAAGGCATTATGTTAAGTGAAATAAGTCAGACAGAGAAGAACAGATACTGTGTGATCTTACCTATATGTGGAATCTAAAACAAAATAAAACAAAAATCAGCCTCATAGAAAAAGAATTCAGATTGGTGGTTACCAAAGGCCGGGAGTGACGGGCCAGGGAACTGGAAGAAGCTGGTCAAAAAGCACAAAATTCCAGTGACCAGACAAATATGTTCCAGGGATATAATGTACCACATGGTAACTAAAGTTAACACTACTGAGTGATATATATGAAAACTATTTAAAAAGTAAATCCTAAGAGTTCTCATCACAAGGAAAAAAAGTTTTTTCTTCTTTTTCTTTTTCTTTTCCTTTTTCTTTTTCCTACATGAGATGATGAATGCTAACTAAACTCATTGCAGTAATCATTTCACAACATGGATCTAAGTCAAACCAGCATGCTGTATGCCTTAAATGGACTTAGTGGTGTATGTCAGTTATATCTTGATAAAACTGGGGAAAAATGAAAAAAATAAAATGAAATAAATTATTGTCACTTTTGTTAGATGTGCTAATATTTTGGTTATGCATATAAAATGTCATGATAACTTTAATGTAAAGTATATAAGCATTTTTATTTTTTATTTTTTTGTATAAATATTCCATGATTTATTTATCCATTTACCATTGATGACCATCTGAATTGCTTTCAACTTGGGGCTATTACAAATAGTTTCTGTAGACACTATTATTATACATGTCTTTTGGTATGGAATATACTCTGGAGTACAATCACCAAATAATAATTTTTTTATTTGTTGTTTCTTGTCTTTTTTTTAGTTTTTTTAACTTTTTTTTATTGAGTTATAGTCATTTTACAATGTTGTGTCAAATTCCAGTGTAGAGCACAATTTTTCAGGTATACGCAAACAATGAATACAATATATTCATTGTCACATTTTTTTCGCTGTGAGCTACCACAAGATCTTGTATATATTTCCCTGTACTATACGGTATAATCTTGTTTACCTATTCTACATTTTGAAATCCCAGTCTGTCCCTTGGCATCCACAAGTTTGTATTCTATGTCTATGAGTCTGTTTCTGTTTTGTACTTATGTTTTGTTTTGTTTTATTTTTTTTAGATTCCACATATGAGCGGTCTCATATGGTATTTTTCTTTCTCTTTCTGGCTTACTTCACTTAGAATGACATTCTCTAGGAGCATCCATGTTGCTGCAAATGGCATTATGTTGTTGGTCTTTATGGCTGAATAGTATTCCATTGTATAAATATACCACCTCTTCTTTATCCAGTCATCTGTTGATGGACATTTAGGCTGTTTCCATGTCTTGGCTATTGTAAATAGTGCTGCTATGAACATTGGGTGCAGGTGTCATTTTGAATTGGGGTTCCTTCTGGATATATGCCCAGGAGCAAGATTTTTGGGTCATATGGTAAGTCTATTCCTAGTCTTTTAATCTCCATACTGTTTTCCATAGTGGCTGCACCAAAGTACACTCCCACCAGCAGTGTAGGAGGGTTCCTTTTTCTCCACAGCCTCTCCAGCATTTGTCATTTGTGGACTTTTGAATGATGGCCATTCTGACTGGTGTGAGGTGATACCTCACTGTAGTTTTGATTTGCATTTCTCTGATAATTAGTGATATTGAGCATTTTTTCATGTGCCTATTGATCATTTGTATTTCTTCCTTGGAGAATTGCTTCTTTAGGTCTTTGCCCATTTTTGGATTGGATTGTTTGTTTTTTTCTTATTAAGTTGTATGAGCTGCTTGTAAGGTATATATGCATTTAAAAATATTTTTAACAGTTAGAAACACCTCAACATCTAGAAAATCTTTAGATTTTTGCTATTTGGTTTTAAACATGTGTATGCATTACCTTGATTTTAAAAACAGGTTTAGTTAATTTTGACCTTATAGTTCTGGATTAGTACACATCCACATCCAATTCCGCCTCCCCAGCCACCACTATGTCTTCTAGTTGAAGCTAATCTTTTCAAGGATGACTCTTGTTTTGCAAGGTTCTGTTCAAAACAGATTTAATTATGTTCAGTGCACTTTATTTAATTAGGCAAGAATTCAGACTAATAGTATAAGAAGGTTTTTCATTATAATGCTGAAACAAAAAGAGATCGTGAACTAGCACATTAAATTAACCAAGTGTTCTCCCACTATTCTGCTTGGTTAATAGGCATGGTTGGGAAGCCTCATTCAGACTAAAAATGCACATCCTAACTAGCTGTGATGGCTTGATGGTTAAGAACATAGTAAATGTGTTCAGAATACCAAGGGGACTTCTCTGTCAGTGTGATCCACGGGGGATACTGTGGGCATGGCCTATTTTAAAAATGGACAAAATATTATATTTTAATCATAAAATTAAGTTTCTTTAATGGACTTAATGAATAAAAATACTATACCTGTCAGAACAATACTTCCAGAAAGGTATTTCCGTCTAAGAATGCGTTTGACACATAAAGAAGCATGGTGCAAATTTAACAGAGTCTTTGGTTGGTTGGTTAACATTTTCATTACTTAAATCTCTTTTGCATTAGACATAAAAAAGATACCCAAGGTGTAAGACTTGACAGACTTTTTAAATCATGATATGAATCATAGAGATAAATGAAAAGTTACCTAAAGAAAGTCGCCATTACATTAAGAAGAAGATCCAAACCATTTTTTCCCATGGGAACGGCTTAGTAACACGGTGATATTTTAATTTGGCAATATTGACATGTGACTACTAATCCATTTAATTGGTTGATTTTAAGTCATTCATACATGTAATTAGTTATTATTCCTTCATTCAAGAAATGATCACTGAGCATCTATATGCAGGTATTTATGCTAGGGACTGGGAATACATAATAAGCAAAAAAAGCATGATTCCACCTTCATAGAGTTTACAGTCTAGTGGGGAAGACAGGTATCATTCAAGAAGTTAATAGCTCAGTTGGTAGAGTTCCTGGGTTCTATCCCCAGTACCTCCATTAAGTAAATAAATAAATGAATAAATAAACCTAATTACCTGCCCCCTCAAAAAAATAATAAAATAAAATAAAATGTTAAGATGAAGCATAATCAGTGGTTCTAGAGGAGAAGTGGAGGGATGCCTGGAAAGCACAGAGGAAGGAGCATAACCAGGCCACTAAAACTATAAACCAGGCTCCTCCCCTTCCTCAGAGTTGAAAGTCCAAGAGTAAATACAGTGGGGTGGGCATGGCTCAGTGGTAGAGTTCATGCTTAGCATGCATAAGGTCCTGGGTTCAATCCCTGGTACCTTCAGTTAAAAAAAAAAAAAAGTAAGAGTAAATATAGAATCCCTGGGGACTGGTAGCTACACTGGCAGAGGGCTGTCCCAGCCGAATACAGGGTCCTTCTACAGAACTCTGTCTCCATTAGTGATGCTGTCTATGTTGGTCTGTTTATCTCGTAAACTCTTAGTAAGCTTTGTGTCCCAAAGAACGCTGGGTGGGGACACTTGCCAGAATGATGGAGGTGGGACGTCTTTATGGATAGCTCTTTAGACAGATAAAGAGTCTAAAATAAGCCTCCCCCTAACCTGAATGTAGATACCAATGTAGCAGCTCTAAGTAATTCCAGAAAGACTGTTAAAATGAATCTGGAAGTCCTAGATTACCTCCAAGCATTCGGGTTAGATGGATGGCGGAGGAACAGCTAAGCTAATTGTGAAATTCTAACTGTAAGTAAAATGTGTGTTTATCTTATGAGCCGGATTTGCATCAGATTCCAAATAATTGTTGTTTTTAATTTCAGAATGTCCTCATTGTTGAGGTAAGCTGACTTAATCCATAGTTGGAAGTTGAAAGAATCTAATGGTGAGTTTCAAAATACAGAACTTGTTATCAAATTGGCCAAGGACTTACTGAATTCCCACTGTGTACAGGGCTCTCCAAATTTATAGAAAAGGAGTCAACTAGAATTACTAGCTTGAAATAACTTAGAAGAATAGCTTTGCAGAAATTGTTGCATGGTGCTCTATCCTGTTTTATATCTAATGCCATACATGTCTAGATTAATTCTTACACCTATTTCTGAATCAGACGTTTTTACAGAAGAGGAAGCCAAAATTTTTTTCATAGTAAAACCAAGGTTAGAACTGTCTTTACCCTTAATTCAGGGTCCTTGCTAATGACCTCTAATGACTTGGAGCAATTCTCCCTTCAACATCCAAATCAAGAATACAGTCAATTTTAAAATGCCTTGGGGGAGGGCATAGCTCAAGTGGTAGAGCGCGTGCTTAATATACGCCGGGTCCTGGGTTCAGTCCCCAGTCCTTCCTCCAAAAATAAACAGACAAGTAAACCTATCGCCCCTCCCTCGCAAAAAAAAATAAATAAGTAAGTAAAATGGCTATCCAGAGGAAAGCTAGAATTTAATTTAATTTGTTTTCTGTTTAAAAAAAAAAGGAGGGAGGGTATAACTCAGTGGCAGAGTGCATGCCTAGCATGCACGCGGTCCTGGGTTCAATCCCCAGCACCTCCATTTAAAAAATAAATTAATAAACCTAATTACCGACACCCCCCCCCGGAAAAAGTCGCAAGAAATTAATTAAAAGTTTTAAAAAGAGAGAGAGAGAAAGAAAGAACGGACCGTATCGCACAGCACGCCTGGGTTATCAGCTGGCGAAAATGCAGGGAAGCTGTTTTCAAGCTTTTGTTACGGTCGCCTGTGTACCGCATGGATCTGCAGCTCTTCTGGCGCAGACGTAACCCATGCAGGAGACCCCCTAGCCAAACGAATTGCCCAACCCTGGCTAAATTCAGACCTGTTGTTTTGATAATCAGCTCCTGACAGCTGATTTCTGTCCCAGGGACAATACACGTCTGCCGCCCATTCTGCTCTCATTGTGCGGCAGCTCGTCAGCGGGGACGAGCCTCAGCTCGCGGCAGCCTCGCACCCTCTGAACCCACAGGCTGTCACCAGCTGCTGTCCAGACACATCTCACTTCCCAGCCACAGAATCCTCTATTAAGTGCGGAGAGTGAGGGGGAGGCGTTTATCCATTCAGAGTATTCAGATGTACATCCCATGTCCATGAAAATTCATGCGCGCTGTATTGTGTTACATAACCTCGGGGCCAAATTTAGTCCTTGAATGTGCGTGCACGAGTCCAAATGCACTCAATGAAGAGCCCCACATGCTCTCCAAAGGCTGAATTTAGCCTTTCAACACAGCTCAAAGATTCCAGGAGGAAACAGGCACCAATATATCCCCTCAAACCCAGCTTCCAGAAAGAAGCACCTGTCTAAAAAATATAACCAGCTCTGCCTCGTGCTTTGACTCCAATTTGACAGCAATTCTAGTTACGATGCATTATTAATAAGGAATAGAATCATCTGTCTGGATGAAAAAGCCTTTTAATGCAGCCCGAATGCATTTGACTGAATTTGTCTGTCCTCTTTGCAAAGGATGTTGTCGGATCGGGGAGGACCATGAAAGCTTTGCTCAGCAGCATAGAGAAATACAAGCCCAACATGATTAAGGTAGCCAGGTGAGTAAGGCATTCACGTCATCCTTGTTTCTGTCTTTCCAAACCAGCCCAAGAGGGATGCTGACACAGGATGCTGTCTCCAAAGAATGCAGACCCTTTGCCCTGGGGTGTTACAGTTTGGCCACACTGAACAAACAGCCCATTGGACTGCTAGCCTGAGAGAGAGGAAAGGGAAGAGGACGTGCTTCGCTGTGTGTCTGAGCCCCTCTTTCCTCTGCCTCCATTAGCTGTTTCCAGGAGCAGCTGGCTGAGCCCCAGGGCCCGTGCCCCTCTCCCTTCCTTTCATCCAGAATCTCCCTGATGTGGTGCCGCAGGAGCAGAAATTAGAGGGCGGTGCTGATGCCCCAGGTGCTCCAGGGGAGAATAATAGCATGTTTCAAATACATATTTTAATGATGCTCAATTCTATTTGCCATTCACAGACATTTTATCTGGATCACTAAAGCTTTTTTTTTTTTTAATGATAGTTTGTTGGTGAAGAGAACATCTAGAAGTGATGGCTTTAGACCTGACTGTAAGTGTGTTTGGCTTCTTGTCCGTTGGTTATTGGCTGGTGGTGCTGTTTTGTGTTTAGGAATCTTTGGTTTCCTATTTGTCGGCATTCCATGTGAAACGGAAGCTGTAAAGATTTGATGGTCCCATAAACACGCCGTCGTCTCCCCGGCGATAGAACCCTCTACCATCAGGGTTCATTTTCTAATTGGCGTCTCTCCCAGGAACTCTGTTGCGTACATTGGATGTTTTTATTTTTAGGTTTCCCATAGCGCCTTCACTCCAAAGAACTCAGCTAAATAGGTTTCAGGGGGTCGAAGGAGACTTGACCCCCTCCCCCAGTCTGACTCAGATGCTCAGGATTCCTCCCTTGGCCTCTTTCTCCATCAGTTGGACACAGAGAGGGTTGAGAGGGGTCCTACAATCGCAGGAACTGTGAGCAGATGATGTGTAATGCTGCCCTTCAGGAAGCCTGAATTTCAGCACACAGACGGGGTAATCCAAGACCCCTACCCCCCACCTCCAAGCAGAAGTTCAAGAACACAGAGAATTAGCAGAGGCAGTACCTCCAGATACCATCCTCACCCTTGAGTTCAGACGTGTGTTCTCAAGGAGTTCCCTCATCTAAGGCTCTTTCCTATCTGCTCCCCATGATACGAATATTTCTCATGCCAGAAGGGATAAACAAGCTGCTTGATTATTTATTATTCTAAGACCAGAAGCGATTTTTTTTTCACTTGCATAGGCAGACTTCAGCTTGGTTTTTATAACTTACATTTGCACTAAAGCCTCTGGGATAATTTGGCTACAGTTCTCATCAGCAAGCTGAACAAACATTAGTACAAGGAGCGCGCTATGGATGGGTAACGAGCCAGTGACATTGAACTCGTGGTTCTTTATTCTAAAAGCAGGTTTCATTCCTAGGCTGGATGTATTAAATCTAGATAATGTCAGTTCTGAACAGAGAGACCCAATAGCATGTTCCTGTCCAGTTACTGGCTTGGGGAAGATAATCTGGATGTAGTCAAGACTGGACAAGGTTAATACACCGAAGCCTTCTAGGGAAATCATGTAAGACACTGTATAGACAAGATTTCAACTGAAGGAGAAAGACATGCTCTTCAGACACATCCAGCTAGTTTCAAATTTCTTGTGTCACTTACAGCAACAACATTAATAAAATAACAGCCGCTAACACTAGCAGGAGGTTATGCCGTGCCTGACTCCGTTCTAAGAGCTACAGAGAGCTAAACACGTTTAACCCTCACAACCTTCCCCTAAACTAGGTGCTATGGTTGTGCCCATTTTACAGATGATGAAATTGAACACAAGCAGGTTAAAGAGCTTGCCAAGATCCCCTAGCTGTAAGTGCAGAGTCCGTGTTGAGCCCAGGAAGTCTGGTTGCAATCATGCCTCTCCTTCTTGCACTTTACCTGCCAGTAGCATCTGCAATTGCAAATATAAATGTAGGAACTACACCCATTTACCAGCTAGAGACCCATCAGTCTGATTCCTGGCTGTTCTCCTGTCCCACTGATCCGGCATTGTTTTGTTTCATGACAGCTCTGAAGGTTTAACCTTTGGAACTGAGTTTCCCAGTCTGAGTTGCCAGTGCCTGCTGTAGGGACTGTCTTACTCTCTGGAAAGTCATTATTATCCTTGCCACCCAGTTTTCCTAGGATTTGCTAATATTCTTTAGCTAACTCAGGATTTCTATTCTGTCTTTCTTCTGAGGCTTTGTACTTGTTGGTCCTTTCTCGTAATTGACTTTTTCCTTTAGGCTCAAGGTCACCTTGTATATGCTCTGACACCTTTTCTTCTGCTCTGGTTTCTTAGCTTTGATTATTTTTCTCAGAAACCTACAGTTTGGAGCGATCAAATGGGCTTCCTAAGAGTGACACATAATGCAATCCTTAGAAAATAAGTCCTTCGTCTCTAGCACTGTCCGGGAGCAGGAACCAGTTGGCTTCTCCATGTGAAAGCATCCTTGGTCAGAAGGATCAAAGTGGTGCTGAGCAGTCACCATGGAGAGAACTTTCTCTGTGCTGTAAGTTCACTGGCTACGCCGAAGTACAGTTTCAGAGAAATAAGCAAGTACATCTCTCATCTGTAATACTGTAACAAACAAACATGAGATTCCCCCAAACTGGAAAAGAATTTGAAAACTCATTGGGCAATAGCACATTTATTCCATCTCATGACCTGAAGGAGAAGAGCTATTGTATGTTCCTTAAGTGTCCTTTCCAGTGAAAATCATCTTTCTTTCAATATATTCATCCTTTGCTTAACCTAAGTACCTAGTCCTGCATTTAAAGCCACTTACTCTCATTCTGCCTCCACAGGAGACAAAGCGCTAATTAATATCATGTGCATCGTGGACTCAAAGACTAGCGTTAGGATAACCCTTAGCATTGTCTTCCTCGAGCTGAACCATCCCATTTCCTTTCATCTTGTCTCCCAGGTTTTCTTTATAGCCCTTTATCCAGCTGAGGACACTGAGTACAGTGGGAGGATGGCTTCCTATTGTAACAGCCTGTGCCCCTGTTCACATATTACAGGGTTGGAATACGCCGTTTGAACTGCCCTTCAAGCTTCGCAAAGTGTTTCCTTTGGCATGGTGTCGTTGGATACTGCTTGCTTTGGAACAACAGGGCCACATGTCTGATTCGTGCATACTTCTTGTTATCCACTGGGCTGCCCGAGCCCGCTCTCAGCTCTGTGTACGAGGAGTGCAGTCATTTTTCGCTGTCTGTCTGCCTGTTTGTCTTGTCTCCCTGAGTAGTCACTCTGGTCCAGGTCCCGTTGGGCTCGTCCCATGCATTGCTTATCACTTTTCTCTCGTACTTCTGCCTAACGGAAGGTCCCCACTGGTTAAGTGCCAACAATAGCATATGGTGGCTTTAGACTTATGTTATTTAAATTATGTTTCTTTTTTTTTTCTCCCTCTCTCTCTCTCTGCTCAGATGCTGGCTTTGAGATTCCAAACTTATTTGTGGTGGGTTATGCCTTAGATTACAATGAATACTTCAGAGATCTGAATGTAAGCCTCGCATGCAAATCCCTAGCCCCCTTTTCACAAGAACTTAACAGTGGCATCAATTTAACACATTTTTGAAATAATGATGGCTACCATTTATGGAGTGTCATCTGTGTTGGGAATATTTCGGGCACTTGGCATTCATAATCCCAGTGTATTCCCACCACTACCCTGCAAGGTGGACATTAGGATGATGGAAACAATTATGATTATCTCTATTTTGTGCTAAGAAAATAATGAAGTTAAAAGCTGCACTCTAGCTTATTACTGATTTTTCTCCATCATCATCAACTGTGTCTCCACTTAACCATACTGACAGTCAATATTCTATAAACTGTTTTGTGCCAGGGCTTCAAATCTAGCAGGACCAAGTATAGCAGCATGTAGCTCATAACTATTCTCGTTTGGGAGAAATGGTTTTAACACGTAGACATGGCGCATGGCCCTGCCCACTGGTGAATGATCCAGGGGTAGACATCTTACCCAAAGTGGAAGCAATCAATCTCTCGCCTGGGAATTAGAAACTTAAGCCAAAAGCCACAGAGACCAAGGGACTTGGGGCTTAAGCCATGGGCTAGGGGCAGGAGCCACCCCTGTTCCTGCCTTCCACTTGCCTCATTACCCTGCTCTTCGTCTGCCTCTGTGAGCTTCCCCAGCAGCCTGCCTGCCGATCACACTCCCTCTTTCGCTTACATTAACGTGACACCATTCCTGTTGCTTGCCATCCAAATGTTTCTGACACATTTCTTGCTATCCAAAAAGGGTCAAAGGAGAGGCAGTATTGTGCTTACCACGGCAATTTCTCCATTCACCCTAGAAGTCATGCTTGTAGCAGTAGGAGACTTCTGTCTCCACCAGTGCTTACTGGACTCCACCACCTTCAGCATCTCTGGGTGTTACAGACCCACAGAACCCGATCTGGGAACGAGCTCAAAACTAAACCAATGAAGAAACTTTTGTCAAGCATTTGAGTGGGTCTCTTTAGATTTTACATACATACGTATATATAAATGTGCGTGTATACATATATGTGTGTATACGTGCATGTATACATATAGGTGTATACATTACATGTAAGTACGTGCATATGTATTTAAACGAACAATAAGCGAATACGAGATAACATTCTGTTCTTACTGTATCCCATTTTCTGCACCTCATGTTTTGTTAAGAAGCTGATGCATGTAAATCCTTTATTGTTTCAGCACATATGTGGGATCAATGAACACGGCAAAGAAAAGTATCGAGTCTAAAGAAGTAAATTTTCACCATCGAATCTCCGGAAAACATCCTACTTACGATGACGCTCAGAAAGCCAGCACGTAAAGCCTGTCTCCCAGGCCTCTTCACTCAGCAGGATTTAAAAGGGAAAAAGCAAAAAATTTAATGAGAGAGCTTTCTTTTCTGAGATTACAACATAACATAAAGAGTCCCAGAGGTTCTTAAGGGAAAAAAAGCAATGCTTCCATCTGACTTGCTCCAAATTAAACACTCCGCCTTGTGACTCACGAGCTCAGTCTACCTTCACACCCCTGAGATACACCTTCTTGTGTTTTCATAAACTCATTATGCTCGATGTCTGTACCCCACCTAGTTACTCAAATATTTTTCACTGAGCTTTTTTTTTTTTAATATTCTACTTTGGTAACATTTTGCAATCTGAAAACCTAGAAGCCTTTTAGGTGAAACTCTGAGCCCGTATACTGGAAATGCAACTCAATTCCCAGACTAATAAAGGAGGAAAAGGACAATTTAATATAAATTTCTGTTTGCGCACTTCTGACAGGCCATTATTATTTGCTTTGACAAAGCCTCTCTGAACAGCAGCGTACAGTGAATCTTAATGATGTTATGAAATGGACCTTTGCCCAGTGCTCTCGATTGGGGCTTCCGGGTTTGTGATAACGGTATGTCATGTATGCATGGATGTACTCAACTGTGTTTAATACTTTGAATTTTAATTAGAAAAAACACAATGGCAGCAAGGCCCTGGTTTCTAAGCGCCATCCTTTTATTCACGTGGGACATGAGCAAATAGCAAAATTGTGGGGGGAGCGGGGCAGTGTTTTCAATGCTCGAAACTAAACAAGTATAAATTTTTCCTCTATCTCCATCAGAGGGAAAGACACAATTATGGATTATCCTAAACATGAACACAGAGGTTGAATTATTTTTTAAAGTGGCCTTGGGAGACCGATCACACAATCCAAGGCATTCTAGGAAGCTAGGGGACTTAAAAGTTTTTTTCTGAATGCCATTTTTTTGCATTTCCAATGTTTTATGAGATGTTTTCTAATTTAATGGGGATTTTAATTGAAAATAAACTGGCGTGCCAATAGAGCTGTTGTTTTTTGTTTTGTTTTGTTTTGTTTCTTCCCTCGCTTCCTAAAAGGAGCAAATGCAAAGTAAATAACGAAGCAGCCTTTGTTTGGTTCTGAACCGTGCGTGGTGTATTGTTATCAGGTCCCAGCTTCCTTTAAACTAATAAAGAGTAAGAAAACTTGTTATGTTTCATAACTGCTTACTGTTTTTCTTCTGCCTTTACATTTTTTATATACTTTCAGCCATTAAAATCTGTGTGAGCCAGTAGCTTAAATATACTACTGCAGACATCTTCCCTGTGGCTTTATTTTTGTTAACCTGGAAAAAATCCAATATATGCACCAGTAAAAGCAAATGATTAAGCCAGGCTTGATCTGTTGCTTTTGTTTTTTTCTCCTCCTTAAGCTTGTTTGTAAGAACAAGGAATTTTAGTTGTAAAAGAAGATTTTCCTGCATATTTTTGTTCCAGCCAGAGAAGAAAATAAACCACACCCAGATATCCCAAGGGGCAAGCCAGCAAAGGGAATTCCTCCTAGCTTTGTTCCTCCAAAGAATCAGTATCCAAGGCAGAGGTTGATAATTCTGTCTTACTGGCCAGTTTCTTGAACTCTCAAAATTAACATTTTAAATATAATTTTCCACTATGGCACATTTGTATCAGAGGACCTAGAAAAATCCAAGTACATTTGATTTTCAAATATAATACTGGGCACAAAGTATGTATTTTTTTTAATTGAAGTACAGTCAGTTACAATGTGTCAATCTCTGGTGTACAGCACAATGTCCCAGTCCTGCATATACATACATATATTTGTTTTCCTATTCTTTTTCATCAAAGGTTATTACAAGATATTGAACATAGTTCCCTGTGCTATACAGAAGAAACTTTTAAAATCTATTTTTATATATAGTGGCTAACATTTGTAAATCTCAAACTCCCAAATTTTTATCCCTTCCCGCCCCTTTTCCCCATCAAAGTATGTATTATTAAAATATTTTCTTTAAAATATTGAGTTTTACAAAACATCCCTATCACTTTTGAGAACCATAGGATTTTTCAAATTAGAAAGGAAATTGATCTATGTCAGAGGATTTTGAGAATGATTTGTGCTAGTTAATGCTTAAAAAGAAGAACTCATTAAACACACAAGAAGTTTAATCATTTTCCTACCATGTTTTCCTATCAGGTAATGTTTTGACAGTGATATCCAAGAATATCACTGTTTGGGAAAAACAGTATTTCTTTTTCTCTTGAAAACTCTAGCCTATGTCATACCACTGAGTTTATTTAGCCTGGACCAAAAATGGAAAAGCTTATCACCTGATGAATGGTTCACCAATGCATTTATTAATTTAGTGTTCCAAAGCTGATTAATAAGGGGGAACAGTGTGTGGCATGTTTCCCTGGAAAAATTTGGATTCAGTTACAATCAACATAATCAGTAATACTTGGGGATCCTTCAAACAAAGTAGAAGCCCTCATCCTAAACTGGCTCTTTCTCACTGGACTGAAATGTATCACATATAGAACGATATACCCCCAAGGTGAGCTGCGAGAAGGTCAGATCGTGATGTGTCTTCTTTAACCTTTGGATGTCTGTGGCTATATCACTTGTCTTGCCATGTCCCAGTCCTCCGGAGACTGAAAACAGCCTTGCAGAGCACAAGCCACCACTTCCTCAGCCTCCTGTGCAGTGAACTTGGATTTTCCCCAAGGAGATAGAAGGTAACCTACCCCACTTCTAAAGACCTGCTGTCATGGAACTGTTTCCCCACTTTTGTTTTATTGAAGTATAGTCAGTTCCAGTGTGTCAATTTCTGGTGAACAGCATAATGTTTCAGTCATACATGTACATACATATATTCATTTTCATGTTCTTTTTCATTATCAGTTACTACAAGATACTGGATAGAGTTCCCTGTGCTATACAGAAGAGACTTGTTGTTTATTTTACATATAGTAGTTAATATCTGCAAATCCTGATTTTTTTATTTTGTTTTTTATTGACCCATGTTTGTAATAACGTTAGTATGTTCTAGGAAATTGAAACCCCAAACCACACTCTCCACCCAGATGTCTGGCTAATTTTGGCAAAAAATAGCATTTGGAGGTTTTACTTACTTTGCCATCGTCAAGTTCATTTGGATCTCCTGATGACATTTGAGGGCCAGTGGGCCAGCTTATCTCATGAAGGGAAAAGAAGATCATGGAAGGGAGATGTGGGAGTTGATGCTGGGGGAGGGGTGCAGAGTAAGGAGAGAGGAGATACGTGGAGGGGGCTGCGTGGTTCCGTGGCCCCAGTCACCCTCCATGACTGGAGGGAAGTAGACTAAGAGGCCAGCGGAAAGAGCTGTTTTCCTGGTCACTTTCACGCCACCAAGTAGGGCAGCCAGGCCGATCTCCGCATTTCACTGAGGATTCTGGCACAGCCCTGGCGCAGGGAGAGGTACTGGAAAAGCAGCTCCGTTTGATGATCCCAGGGGTTCTGCAGTTTGGTGAGCTCCTGGGCTGGGAAGGGTATCCACATCCAGGGGGCTTCACCAGATGCCGCCTTCTGAGGCTTTCTGGGCCACAGGCATCCACAGAGGACCAGAGCAGCCCACGAGAGGAATGCAGATGGACACTTGGGAGAAAACTCTGCATATCCCGGAAACACAGGTACTGTGTGGGTTGTCCCACTGCCGGAGCTGCAGGTGCCCTGAGCGAGGATGCCTGGCCGAGGGGAGGCGAGGGGCTGAAATCCAGCCTACACTCCACTTACCAAGCCATGGACCCCATCAGCACCCAGAAAGGGGTGTCCTTTTCTTAAAAGAGTTATCTTTTTCTAGTCCATCAGGAAAGAGTTTTGGGGGTTTTTTTCTTTTTTTTTTCAATTTCTCATCCAGTAGGGGGGTGGCTTTTTTTCTGCCAGGGTGAGCTTCACTCAGAAGTAGGTAGGGGAGAACGTGGAGTCAGGGTGTGGTGCTGAAGTCCTGCATTTTCCAAGTGGGAGGAATAAGCCTGAACTCATCTGTGATCTCATCTGTATCCAGATCCTAGAGGATGTTGACTGAGTGAGGACAGTAAGTGTGGACGACTTGTTCAAGAAACCTGGCTATGAAGAGAAGAGACACAAGAATATAGCTCGAGGGCTTTTAAAAGATGAGAGACACCTGCGCATTTTTATTTGCCACAGAGAACAAAACATCAAACAAAATAGAGCGTATTCATTATTGATGGCTGTAACAGTCTGTGTAACAGACTACCTGAAAACTGAGTAGCTTAAACCAAAACTTATTATTTATTATTATTCATGCTCCCAAGACTTAAGAATATAGGGAGAGCACAGTGGGGCTGGCTTGTTTCTGCTCCACGATGTTTGTTGCTTTAGCAGGAAGATTCAAAGGCTGAGGACTAAACCATCCAAGGTGGTAGCACACATGTTATTTATATTTAAATTAAAGTCAAATCAAATTTAAAATTCACTTCCTCATTCACACTAGCTATATTACCATTGCTCAAGAGCCTCATCTTAGCAAAAACAGAAAATGTCCATGCTCACAGAAAGTTCTGTGTGTCGTCGCTCCGATCTGAAGGCCTGTCTGGTGGTTGGTGTTGGCTGTTGGTTGGAACCTCAGCTGAGGCTGGGATTCTTCTGTGTGCTTGGGCTTCCTCAAAACGTGGCGCTGGGGCTCCCAAGGCAAGTGTAGACAGAGAAACAGACAGAAGCGGGTGAAAGCCACATTGCTTCTTACATGACAGGCTCACTCCCACTGTGTTCTGTTAGTCAAAGAGATACAGAGATTTGTCCGAGTTCAAGGGGAGGCAACAGAGACTGCCGTCACTCGGTGGAAGTGTACCAGCATCCTACTGTAAGAAGATCAACTGCGATGGGGTAAATGTCGCTATGGCCATCTTCAGAAACCTGAAAATGAAACCTGCCACTAAAAGCCTATGTAGCCTGAACATTTCCCTACTAATAAGATGAGTGAAGGAATTAATGATTCAGTGGCCATAATGCATAATTGAAACATGCCTGTTTGCATAGATTTTTAAAGGTTACAAAATAACCATCTGGCCACATGGGAAATATGAGATGATGAGAAGAACAGCAGACAGTAGCACACCTTGACTACAAAGATGGAAAGACCCGTCTTCCCACTGATAGTATTTAGATTAAGAAGACTTTGAGAGAGCAGTTTTATTTCTATTAAGATGCTTAAGTTTGAAATACAAAAAACATAGTAAAATAGTTTTTGCTTGCCAAGTGTACTATAGATGTAAATTCATACTGAAATTTTAGTAGTTCCAATTTTATATGAAAAAATTATATAATAATTTGGCCAAGATACTGATTCAGGATGGGGCTTAAAACACTATACTAATATATATATTTATATATATTATACTAGAAATAGTACTCACCAAATCAATTAATGCATTTTTTAAACAACAGATTACTCAGTACTAACCTACAGGATTTTACAATGAAAACTGCTCTGATTTATCTATTTTTATTAATTTTTAAAATTTAAGTGTAGTTCGTCTACACTGTGTTCATTTCTGGTGTATAGCATAATGATTCAGTTACATATATATATATTTTATATATAACATATATACATATATATATATAACTTATATATATTATATATATATATATTCCTTTTCATATTATTTTTCATTACAAGTTACTCAGAGTCATTGAATATAGTCCCCTGTGCTATACAGTAGGATGTTGCTGTTCATCTATTTTCTATATGGTGGTATCTGCAAATCTTGAACTCCCAATTTATCCATCCCCATCCCATCCTTTACCCCTGGTAACCACAAGCTTGCTTTCTATGTGAGCTTGTTTCTGTTTTGTTCACTTGTCTTATTGTTTTAGATTCCACATATAAGTAATATATGGTATTTTTCTATCTCTTTCTGGTTAACTTCACTTAGTATGACAATGTCCAGGTCCATCCATGTTGCTGCAAATGGCATTATTTTACTCTTTTTATGGCTGAGTAGTATTCCACTGTGTGTGTGTGTGTGTGTGTGTGTGTGTGTGTGTGTGTGTGTGTGATATCACATTTCTTTATTCAGTCCTCTGTCAATGGACATTCAGGTTGTTTCCATGTCTTAGCTGTTGTAAATAGTGCTGCTATGAACATTGGGGTGCATGTGTCTTTTTGAGTTAGAGTTTCCTCCAGATACATGCCCAGGAGGG